GTGAAGAGTATTGCAAACTAGTAGTGACAGCCTTCAAGCACACCCTCCAGCTGGAATACTGGCGGCACAAACTGACCACCAAGACGGAGGAAGTTTCGGAGCTCAAGAAGAAGTGGCTGTTGAGCAAAGAACGAATCTACCAGGGACCTCCTGAAGGAAGACAAGTTGCTGACCCTTCCAAAAGGGTGTGGGAAGCGTCGCAAGCTTCTCAGGACACTAGGCCGCAGTTGGGGATGTCCAAGAAGGCCAGAAGGGAAGAAGAAAACGATCGCTTCATCGGAGGCATGAGGAACCCGGGACGAGCAGTAGAACGACTCTCGAGGGTTCGGCAGGTGGGCATGGACGTGTCGAGGATTTGGGACAGGTTCATCCACGACTACCCGAAGGCATTGGACGTCGCCAGGAACTATGGGTCAGAGGCGAACAGACCGGACATGGAGATCGAGATGATGTGGAAGGGAGCACTGAAGATGTTCTTTCAGACGAGGGCGTTCACGGACATCATCCTCAAGGACAAGTATGAGTTTGAGTCTCCACTGGACCCGGAGCTTTGGGACGCATGGTTGCGAGCAGCGGCTGACCCGGAAAAGCACCTGGTGGAGTGGATCCGCAAAGGGGTGCCCCTGGGGATGAGCAAAGAGATACCCTGCTGTGGCATCTTCCCGATGGCGGACGACCCGGAGCTGGACATGGAGGAGATGCCGGAGCTGGCGGATCAGTTGGGAGCGGTCAACTACAAGTCCTTCACGGAAGAGCCGGCGCACGCGAGAGCTGAGCTGAGCAGGCTCGTGGAGGAGGGATTTGCAGTGGTGCTCCCAACGGCAAAAGCGCAGGACATGCACAAGAAGGGCATCGTCTCGAAGCTGGCCTTGTTGATCAAGAACAAGGACGACGGGAGCGTCAAAAGGAGGATCATCATCGACCTGCTCAGGTCGGGAGGCAATGCCAGGTGCCACGTGCCGGAGCGGATCGTCCTGCCCAGGGTGGTGGATGTGATCGATGGCTTCAGGTACTTGTGGAGCACCAGGGACCGCATGAAGAGCAAGTCGAGAGATGAAGAATGGGAATTAGATGAGGATCGACCAGAAGGAGGCATCTTCGACTTCGAGCTGGTTACGGCAGATCTCAGCGATGCCTACTGTCACTTGCCAGTGCACCCCGAGGAACACCCAAATTGCTTGAGCCCAGGATTGCACCAATCTGAAACGCTCATGTGGGTCGCGATGTTATTTGGCTTCAAAGGTGCACCTCTATTAATGGGCAGGTTTGCAGCGTGTCTGGCACGGATCTGGCAGTCACTGATAGCTCCATCGGAGATGCAGAGCCAACTGTATATGGATGACCCCATGTGGATTCTTCGTGGTCCGACCTCACGACGGAACAGGAATCTGGCGCTCTTGCTCTATACGGCGAGAGCCCTAGGATTGAACCTGGCATGGCACAAAGGTTCGCGGGGGTCACAGTTGACCTGGATCGGAGTGATGTTCGAGGTGGTCCAAGCAGAGGCTGTCATCAAGCTCACTGTCCCCAAAAAGATGATGGCTGAGGTTTCGCAGGCGCTGGAAGCTTGGGAGTCGAAAGGGATGGTGAGCTTCAAGGAGGTGCAGCAGCTGACGGGAAGGCTATCATGGATAGCGGGCATCCTCCCGAGATCACGCTGGGCTGTCTCGATCATGTATGCGGTGCTCGCAGATGCCAAGCGGACCGAACATGAGGAAAAGAAGAGGGCAGCGAAACGAGTCGACCAACGACCGAAGGTCGGACTCATTGCAGTCAAACGCTTGGAGCTCCCGAGACGATGGTTCATCACCTTGTTCAAGGAGCCGGAGGTACTGGCACTGAGGAAGGAACCAATGGTCGAGCCGCTGCCGGACTATGCCATTGTGACGGATGCGAGCCCTCAGGGAATCGGCGCTCTCCTAGCGACAGTGGATCACAACATGGGACCTTCCTTCACCATCCTGGAAGGGTTGGAGATCCCGCTTGAGGAGGCTGATGCAAAGTGGCTTGGAGTGCCCTGGAAGGAGTCTGCATCCCAAGGTCCACTGGAAGCATGGGCGGTCAAACTGGCGGTGAAGCGGTGGGCCAACAAATTGGAGGGCAAGAGCATCGTGTTGCGTAGCGATAGCGTAGTGGCCCTGGCTATGACCAAGCGACTTTCATCCCCCTCCCCGGTGGTGAACTGGGTAGGTGCTGAGCTGGCAATCAGGTTCGAGCGAGCCGGCATCAAGCGGGTGGTGACGCAGCACATCCCAGGCAACTGGAATGTCGAAGCGGACTGGCTTTCGCGACCTCATGACCGAGGAGAGAAGCCTGAGCGATTGCAGAAGGTGCCAATCAAGTCTTTCCCAAGGAACTTGTTGCACCGATCGTACTTGTCTCCCCCCGGGATGGCGCCACAACTTTGGGGTGCGTCGGCCCAGCAGGTCTCAGGAGCCTTCGAGCTGCTTTGAAGGGATGAGGATGAAAAATTTTCGTCGCTCATTCTCGGCTTGAGGGGTGAGGTCTGAGTAGGTCGGGAGACGGGGGGAGGGGCGCGGGGTCGAGTCGATCCGCGGTCGTGCGTCGATCTCTCGGGGACGTGAGTTGCAGTGCTCGTGAAAGCGCCGGGAGAGCTCACGATGGCTCAAGTGATGGTAAGGCCCGATTCTGCCGTAGCGGCAGGGGATAGTGCTGCTGAGTGGTCCTTTGGCGAATACGCAGTACTCGCCGGGTGGGCCTTCTTCGGGCTGGGCCTCTTGAAGGGCGTGTGGGAAGCGCTACGTTGGAGCTGCTCTCCGCGGAAACCAGGGAGCGAGGAACAGGCGGAGAGGACACCTACCAGAGTATGCTCTCAATGCGGCAGGTCAAACGAAGGGGAGCAGCCGAGACGAGAACAATCCCCAAGGAGAGAAAGCTCGAGGAGGCGACAGTTCAGTGTCACGCCAGAGAAGAAGCCATCAGAGGGGCCAGAGTTGGAATCCCCAGGGAGGTCGCCAGAAATTCAGCGGGCAAGAGCGCAGATTCTCGAGGCCATGGTTCAGAGGGCTCAACCGGTAGTGCAAGACTTGCACGACATGCACCGCCTTGGTGGAGTGGGGCCAGTGCTGCGACGTGGATCCCGCATTCAGTGAGCTCAAGAAGAACGTTGGGGGTCGTGGGCTTTGGCTTCAAGAACCCCTCGAACTGCATGGAGGAGCTAATTCGAAATAGAGTGCACGGAGAAAATCACCATTTTGGTGTCAAGAGTCCATCGGAGCAACCGGAGGTGAAGCACCGAGTTCATGCACCCACACGGGAGGAGCAAAAGGTCAGTGGGAGGTCAACGAAGAAGGGCTCCTTTGATGAGGTCATGGACATCCTGAAGGAAAAGGAGAAATTGGCCAAGGCTAGGCAGGAGTTGAGGAAAGACTTCATGGCCGACTCATCCAGGGCCTCACAGAGAACGAAAAGGGAACAGGTGTTAGCAATGGCTGCGGAAGCTCGTGACCCAGGAGCTGAAACCTTTCCACTGAAGACAGAGACAGTGGAGGCAGTGGCAGCGGCGATAAAAGCTGTGGGCTGGACTTCGGGCGATCAGTACATCAATGAGCTGAAGCTGATGCACATTGAGGCTGGATGGGACGTGAGTCAACAGCTGAGCAGAGCTTTGGCCGACTGCAAGCGATCTCTCCGAAGGAACAGAGGCCCAGTGAAGAGAGCGCCTGAGTTCAAGCTGGAAGACATTGAACAGATGAAGTGGATCCTGACGTGTAGAGGTCCGAAGAAGGTGGCGAGGCCAGCCCTAGCATACGCTTGGGCAGTCGTCTGGATGCTGAGAGAGATTGAGGTCAGTGCCATGAAATGGAGGGATGTTTCAGCAGACTGGAGTAAGAGAAGGATTTCCATTTTCATCCCCGTCTCGAAGTGCGACCAGCAAGCCCTAGGTGTAAGAAGAACGATGCAATGTTGTGCCTACAGATCCTGCCAAAGATGGTGCCCGTGGAAGGCAGCGAACAGAAATTTGAAGCGTGAAGGTGACCACAAACCCAGAAAACAAGATAGGAAACTGGAAATCATGACGAAAGAGGAACTGAGCACGCTTCAGGGACTTCCCGAAGGGCCAATGGAGGGCACAGCAGAAGGGAAAGAAGGAGACAAAGAATCAGAACAATGCAAAGTAGTGGTCACATCCCTGCCCAAAAAGCTGTGGGTCGCCTCGACAGCCTACAGCTCAAGAGAGCGTGTTTGGCATCAGGTAGAAGATGCTGGATGGGATGTGCCGATAGAGGCCTGGACTTCGATTTGCGGATGGCCGTTCAGCAGGAACTCATCGAAAGTCATCCTCAACTCGCAGTTGACGGTGGCGCAAAGGAAATGCAAGAAATGCCTAAAGCGAACTTGCGGCGGTGCCAGTGAGGATGGTGTGGCAAGTTCAATGAGACCAGCAGTTTGAAAGACTGACCAGAATGGTCAGGTGACAACCGACCAAAACAAGCCCGCAAATCCCTCTGATGTGGCTTGTGTATAGGAGGGTGGGGGGGCCTGAGTTTCCCAAACTCTGGTTGTCCATTGTATAAAAATACCCACCTTCCAACAACACTCCGGTGCAAAGGCCTACTGCGAGCTTAATTAGGGCCTACACCTAGAGTCACTGATACACGATCAAAGAGTTTATACCAAGAGTTTGTGCCTTGCCTCTTCCCATGTAGTGGGCTGGGCCGGCCGAGCTGCGTAGTGGCTTTCCTGTCAAAAGCTGTGCACTTGTGGAGCACTTTCCATAACAGCTACACATGTCCCAACACCAGAAAACAATCTGTGTTATCTTATATTAGACCGTTGAAACAATTGTAGTGCCCTGGATGGGATTAAAAACGTTCCTTTTTGTGAGGTCCTGGCCTATGATCTTCTTGTCCTTCCACATCAGATCTTGTCCAAATCCATATATATATATATATTATATGATTAGTATTACGTATTAATCCTCGATCTGGAAGGGCAGACGATGTTAGAATGGTCCTTGTCCTGCCCAATTCCCCGAGGTCACCGTCCAGGCCGGCCCCATTTGGCGTTGGAAGTCGTGGAGGTGCCGTCGCGCAGCTTTGCGCAGCGCAGCCTCGACGCGGAGGGGCTGGGACTGTCAAGCAGGAAACCGCTGAAAGAGGTTGAAGGACACCCCAGACCCAGCACCTTCCAACTGGTGGACTTTCTGGTAGAATATGATAATTTTTGAGAGGATTGCGGCACCAATTTGGTGCCCTGAGCTCCTTTGTGGGTGTGGAATGGTGTGGAACTCCACAATGGCGATGATTGGCTCGTTCGGGGCGCGCGTGGAGGATGTTGGACCATGACGAGCTTGCTCACAATTGCAGCAATGGGGGAAGAGACAAGGAGGAGGAAGGGCCCTTCCTCCAGGTCTTAGAACAAAATACGTGGTTTACTTCGTCGAAGAGCTGCAGGGCGCTGCAGGGCCCCACAAACTCACCACCTGTTTGATCCTGTTTGTTTTAATCACATCATGGAATCATGGCATTTTTTTGGGTTTGCTTGCCACAAAACAAGGACCATCCGGATTCCATCCCTCCCCCAAAAACACATCATCCCTCAATTAGGGGGCCCCTGGTGTATGTTGTCTGGTGTATGTTGGTCTTGAAAAAGGCCGTGGGCTGTGGGTCAACACCCGGAGCCCTGTGCAATCTGGTAGGTTAGCCTCCTGCATGTTCCGTGATCAACCAAGGTCCCCTAGTTCGGCCATATGCCTAGACTTCCAACCACCATTAGATTTATAGGCTTTACCGAACCACCTAAGGATTTTACACTACAGAAACCCCGTCAAGCCTATTTGTAATGGTCGAACGGAAGTCTAGGGTATGTTGTTTCGACCCAACTTGATCTACACCTGTTCTTGGTTGGATGTCGCCTCGGTTACCCTCACCTCTGCGAGTCGCGGCAGTTCTTTTCCGGAGGTTCGGGTGGACGCTTTACTCGGAATCATGCAGATCAGAAGTCTGTACTGGTCAGGCGGATGATGATCCCCCTCTTCCATCAGTTGGAAGCCCTTGCCCCTTGGCAGATGGAAAGGGAACAGCCATGAATGGAGCGACGGAAAGCCGCGCGACGCAGAAAAAAATAACACATCGGGCGACGTACCGTAGGTGTTTTTCTCTTTTTCGCGATGCCACTCGAGGGGTAACCACGACCCCGGTTCCATCGTGTTGAAAGACGTACGGCTCGGATGCTGGGACATGTTCATGCGTTTTTTTGGGGGTGGGAGACCGGGCATGTTTGCGGACATGAAACACGATCATCGAATCATCCTGACTGCTGAGGTCTTGGCAGTGATGGCATACAGAGGCCGCAATCCGATGGTTCTTTTCGGTGGTGGGATCCCCCAATGCAGACGCCCAGCCTCTGGAGCGGTTGAAGTGATGAGTTCCACATGATGTACGAGTTCAGTTATAGACATAGATGTGTAAAGTTTAAGGAATCTAGCATTGTTTTGAGAAAAGATGTTCCGATTGCAGTCCTGAGTGGTCTTTCGCCGCCATTCCCCGATTTTTTCAGATGGACCTTTCTTCCTCCATCTTCCTCAAAGGCCAGGGTAGGAGGTTCAAAAACATCTTCACTGGCACCTCCACTCTTATATGTTCTCTGGGGCAAGCATTCTCAAAATCATATTCATATTCGTGTTGAACAACATCTTCAACACCTTCGCGCCGTTCCACTCCTCCACCTCCACTCCACCTCCACCGCCCACGTGGACAGATGGTTGCTTCCGCCCCCTTGAGGTGGGATGAGCATCTATCTGCTTCTGGTGGCGCTTCAGGGTGCCAATATGCCCACCTCTGCGTCCGACCAGGATCCCCGGTTTGTCGCCCTGCTTCGGGGCTCTCGGGGGCGCTCAGCGCCCAAGCGGGCCATTCTTCAGATTGGACGGTAGACGTAGCAACCCAGCGAGAAGACCTTTTGCAGAGTTGGAAGGCCCAGGTGCTGTATTTTGAGAGTATTTCAGGCACTTATATACTTGCTTTTGTTACGAACTCGGAATTCCAAAGCGACGCGGAAAGAAAGGAACAAGGATGAACAAGGTAGAGAGAGAGAGAGAGACCAACCCCCATCAACCCCACCGCGCTTTGCGGAACTCAACTACCAGGACCCAGGATCCGGTCAAGAACCATCGAACAGCCAGTTCGGAGACCGGAGACCTGTTGGACACGAGGGTCGCTATGGGAAGCATCCGCCTTGGTGCTAAGGCACCATGGACGTCCCAAGGGGGTTTCCCACAAGCTTGATCGATCAGGACAAGGCCACCGTCTTGGTGCTTTGCGCCTACCGCGTGCTGCGGACCTGGGGCGATTGCAACAACGTCTCCGTGCAAAGCACCTTGCGGTTTCGGCGGAAGCAGCAGAAGCGCCACAAACCATGGATGGATGAGTACAAGAGCCACTTCGGTTGGTAAAATCTCAGGGGATTTTGGAGTGACTAGGAGCTCGGATGGCTTGATGATGGGAGGTGGAGTGAGGCCCACTTTTTATGTTTTGATTGGTGTCGGAGGCCGGAGTTGATGGTCTTGAAGACCATGGCAGTGATGTTTGAGCAGTAAGCATTCTGTGGCTGTACTTCCCTGCAGAGTCTAAGCATTGCTTGAAAAGCCTAGGCCAGTGTTTCACCTGTGTTCAGGGGGTGCCACAACCAGAAACTGACAACATTTGTGCTGATTGTCTCGTACCTTAGCCGTGGTTGTTAGGTGGTGATAAACGTGGTATTCGGAAGTTAGAATCTGATCAATGATCAACAAAAACTCACAGGCCTGTCTGACATGGACAGCCCATGGCAAGCAGCTGAAAGGAACCCTTCCAACTCACTTGCAGGTGGGTCAACACTTGGGGGGGCCCGCCCTGGTTCACACGCAGCTGAAGGGCCCAGGGCATAGAGGGTCCCTCACGGTCATAGCAGCCATGGCTCGGTGCACCCACGCAGCGCACCCAGCCAAGGCCAACTGGAGCAACACCGGAAGCTCTTCTTCGTGCGCGTGCAGCGGGCCGTGGACCAACGGCTCGCACAGCTGGCCTTCCTCTCGGCCGCGCGGCCGCTACAGTGGTGCCGTCGGAAGAGCGTCGAAGTGTCCGACGCATCCGGTCTGTCCGAGGGTCGTCTTGCACGGGTCTGCCCCCCCCCGACTCGGGCCCTGCTTCGGCAATGTTGGAGATGCAACAGCCAAGTGTCATGAATTGTCAGTGTCTGCTCATGTCTGCTCATGTCTGCTCATGCTCATGTCAGACCATCATGAATCACATTGGGTCTGTGGGTCTGTCCGTTCTGACCTGTAGCAGGCAGTCAACAAGACCATCACTATTTTTTTGAACTGTCGGCCTGCGACCTAACTATCATCATCCACTGGGCCCTGGTAATGGGATAGACTCGTCTCACATCTAAAGACGTTTGAGCCCGAGAGAGGGCGGAGACCCAGGAAGCAAGTCAGTGACATGACACATGGAGACACTCCGACGAACAGTGTCACATGGAAGTAGATGGCATGGCCCGGAGGACGATTCCCCGCGACCCAACAGGTGGGTCTTCACCTTCCATGTCAGTGAGTCACAGGGTAACCTTGAAAGATCGGTTCAGTGAACCGGGTGTGCTTTTTTGGGCGCCGACGAAGCAACAAACACCGGTCACAGAAGGTCATTGCTGGCTTGGTTTTCGCTGCCATGCTTCGATGCCGTGCGTTTCGGGGGCCATCGTTTTTGGTCGCTCTGAAACGCATGTTAGTGACATGGTGGGACTGCGGGAGTGGCATTTGCAGCTTGAACCGGGGGATCATTTCCATGGCCATGGTCGGGCAAAAAGGTCGTGTTGAAGTTTTTCTCTCTTCAGGGTCTCTTCATGAGTTCTCCTTCATCGGCTCCACGACGTCGATGCTTTCTTCTTGAGGCCACACTTCTCTATGGTTTCTTGGAGATTCAGGCGCGGTGCGCTCGAGCTTGTGGGGAGCCCACTGGTCATGCCCGGCAGTAGTAGAACTCACAAGTGTCCACTGGTGCAGATGGAGGACCTCCACTGCTTCGATCCGGCAAGCCCCGCCCTAAACACGTCGCGACCCCTCGAGCTCGGGCGGAGCTCGGGTCGCGGTAAAGGATGTGGCGCGCGCGGGTGACCGCTGGTGCGTGCCACTTCGAGGGAGGGACGACGGCGGTGCTCGACAGCTCGCCGGGGGCAAGGAGTGACGAGTTCCCGAACCGTTCCACCCGAGAAGATTAACATGGAACCTGAAAACCACTGGGTTGTAGAGGAAAATAGTCTCCCAAAGGTTCATGCCACCAGGTTCCATGTTAGTTTCTGGAGTACTAACCCATTGCTAGTGTAGTGAGAGTGGATCATCTGATACATGTACACTCCCTGGAACTCATATGGTTACGTGGATGGCATGGCCCTTGGAAAACCATGTTCAATCCTCTAGTTAACAGGAGGTGCCACCCACGTCGAGACTACCTACACTCCCTGGAAGCATTCACTTCCTGGAAGTCTATCCCGGATCATGGACGAACATGGTCATGGCGAGTCTTCGGGGGGCGCTATCCACGTCATAGCGATGGACGAGTGCGCCATCCTACGTCGCAGGGCACTGCCGGGCACTGCCCCCGTCGTGATGTTCTTGCGTGGAAAGCAAAGAAGGAAGTCGTTGAGGATCTGCCTCACCCAGATCTTTCCAACCATCCGATGAAGTATATAGATAGAAGAAACATCCCAAGAAGGCAGAACCATTTTTCCTATTGGTTGTTGTTTTGTCCATATATACTATATTTGTGGACTGCCAGTTGGTGAAGTCAAAAACACTGTGCCAGAATCTTCGCTATATGGGGGGGTTCATGATGTTAACTCGGTGTTTCATTCAACCATCTGCATCATCTCCAGGATGACCATAGGTTGGTTTTGTCCCATTACCTGTATATAGAGCCGTCGGTCAACAAGAACATCACTATTTTAGAGAAAGGCCTGCAACTGAACTATCATCAACCACAATTATATATATATATATCCCTATCATTTATTCAGCAACCGTCATCATCCACTGAAGTCTGGCATATATAATGGGATATAGGTCTTTGACCCAAAGCTTGGGGCTCGATCTGCCGGCACTGCTCACCTCGGGCCAGGATGCCTATCCTGTAACCTCGGAAGTCGTGGGCTACCTGCTTTTGCTCGGTGCCCTCGGTTGGATTTGGGGAAGAGTAGGGTCAGAAGGTGAGGGAGTTCTGAAGGCTGGAGGAGAATTCAAGACTTTTTCGAGCACACCCAGACCTGGCGCCTGTTCTGACCTCTCGATTGGGCGTGACTGCTTCCCCCCATCCTGCCGGACCTAGGCTTCTTCTGCGAGTTCTTCTGTCGGGCGAAGGCGCAAGGGGGTGAAAGCTTCTTCCGGCCCTTCTACAACAAGCTCGAGCTCTGCGTGCTCGCAGGAGGCGCTAGTCTTGTGAGGTCTTGTGAGAGCGGAACCCCTTCAGTCAGAACAACAAAGCGTTTAGTTGTTTGGGGACAGAACTTTTTCAACTGACAAGTTGCTCGTTTATAGTCAATATGTTCAGTTTGTGTCTGCTCGGTGAGTTTGTCGCCAATCCTGCTCGAGGCACCTGGTGTTTATTCTATGGAACTTGGTACACCGAGTATTTGGCTGAAGAGAAGGATCAGCGTGCAGTGGTGGCCACGGCAACTGTGTGCCTCCTCCTCCTTCATCGCTACTCTGACTGAGTGTGTCTTACACCTATAGTCCTATAGTTGAGAGTAGGTGGCACAGTCCCCCAAAGATGGTTTATTTGGACCCCCATCTAAAGGACATCATCTTCTGAAAAACACTGTGCCCAGTCAGTGGATAGCCTGAAAAACACCTTTTCGCGGGGGATTGGGGCCACCCCACTAAACAAGAACAGAACAGGGTGCAGTTCATTCAACCTAAAGATTTGCTCCAAGGATCGAGTGACTCGGCTGGGGAGTCAGTGCAACAAACAGATCCCCGACCAATGGTGTTTTGCTCTGGAAACGGTTTGAGATCGAACCACTGGGTTTGGAGGGACGGGGCGGGCGTGTCACGGAGCGTCTGGGTTGTCCCACCGCGGAGAAGCTCCTGGGTGTCCTTCCGATGTCGGCACGCACACAGACACGCACCACTGCTTGTGAGAGACCTTTTTATGGAGTCCTTCTGCATTTTGCCTCCATTCGGAGCCGCTTCGGAGTGTAGCTGCCGCATTTGGATGGGGTAGGCATGACACGCATGACACGCATGATGAGGTCAACTCCAGAGCTCTCAGGATCGGATAGTTTGAGTCATGAATCCTACTGTAGGTCAAGGCCGCGATATGCATGCTCCAAGCCTCAAGCTTTGGAGGTCAAGCCGCACCAGGCTTGCAAAAGACTTGGGCTGATTCTGTTGTCTATTTCACGCCTGCAAACTTCTTCGCAAAATCTCGGCTTGTTTGCAACTCCCCTCTGACCTTTTTCATCCTTCATGTTGGGGCTCCACCACATCATACACCCCCCCACTTCATGCCCCGTACCGCGGAGCGTGCCGTTCGCGTGGCGCGGTGTCACGTGACAGTACCGACGGGACCATCCATCTAGGCTGTATCCGGCTCCTGGCGATTCGCTTCCAAGTCTCAGCCAGCGACTTGCATGCGAACACGCTGATGAGCGCGAAGGCCTTGGAGGTCTTCATCGCCAAGCTGCTTGGGCAGATTGGAGGGTCCAAGAATCAGCATCCCAACAAAGGGTGGTAAGTCAACAAGGTCCTGAAGATGCAACTTCCTCTAAGCAGTTGTTGCAATTATTTTTTTGGGGGTTCAGTCAGGACACTGCTGACAGTTCACCAATTGAGACCTATTAGGGCCCAACAACCCGCAACTATAGACCTGTTGGAAGGTGCTAGTACTTGTTGTTTCAACTTGAAACCCTTTCATTTGCCATGAGCACCGTCATGAGATTGGGCAGACATGTGACATGAGTTATTTCTTTAAAGACCAGACCAGACTGAAAGACTGAAATGACATCCAAGAGAAGACACAGAAGTGACATGCTACACAAAAGGAGGCGAAGGATCTGATGATCTGATATAGGTCCGGTCCCAAGCGCCCCTCAGGAATTATGCTAAGCATCCCCTTACAAGGCCGGAGCCCATCTATGCCTATTCCGCCCCTTAGAACGCCCTGAGATATTCAAACATGATGTAGTGTACCAGAGCCTCCGAAGGAGCCCGCAAGAGGTTCTTCGGCCGAAATGTCCGATGAACCAACCACCCACCTCCTCACTCTCGGTGGTGGCACAGTCGATGGCACGGGCCGTTCCGCCCGTTCGGCGGGTTCATCGGGTTCCCCGCGACGGTGACGAAGTCGTGTGGGGCCATGTCGTGGTGAGGAAAACTCACGCGGACCCTGAAAACCACTGGTTGGTAGAGGAAAACCATCTTCCACCAGCTTCTTCAGTTCGTGACCGAACTCTGGAGTCCCTGATTGTGACCGAACTTCCAGGCCTGTAAGCGACCGAACCAACCAGGGGATCAAGTTAGGTCACGTACTGAAGAACCAGGCAGGTGACCATTGCCAGGGTCTATGTGAGTCTTCCGGCCGGTTCGTCGAGGGCGATCGACGAACCAAAGACCGCTTCTTCTCCAGAACCCGCCCCACCCCCGGGTTCGTGTCTCTTGAAGGATGGCTTCTTCCAAGTGGACCAAGGCAGCAACATAGCCAGGACAAGTGGATAACCTGAAAAAACCTTTTGAGGGGATGGGTGTCCCCACTGAACCAGAACAGGTAGAAACAGGGGAACTTTATTTTCCAGGGAAACTAAAGGAGTCAGGCAAAGAACATTGACATCTCAACAGATATCTCCATTTTGTGTAGTAGGAAACTTTAGGTTTTGTGTTGACTAATTCCCTCGTCATGTATTGCAAGACCTCTTCAGGTGCGGGGGGTTCGTTCTACATGAGTGGCGCCTCAATAGATTGACAAGTGAATCGCCTTCAACTCCCTCAATCTTGAAGGGTGTCATTTGATGTGACTGTGAAGAGAGCTCCATCCGACCTCTTCACAATGAGACCCGAAAGGGTCCTGAACGTTTCGGCCATTCCCGAACGTCCAACGACGCATTTGGCTCCACCTGGCAGTCATCACCCACCACTACCATTAACCTCCGCCTTCCTGGCACCACCCCTGGCCTGATCGGCATATATTCCAGTCCCATTAGTCGCGTTTCGGAGTCATGCTCATGGGCAAGCGCTCTGACAGGATCCACCATCTCCCACCCATTTGTGTTTTCCGCAGGTTTGGTGATCTGGTGGAGGTTCCTCCCACCAACATCCACGTGGACGTGCCTGGGTCGAGGGTGCACATCGAGAAGGCGACCTTAAAAAGGGAAGTCTTTGAGGAGTTGCACCTGCCAGTGACAGTTCAAGGAGGTGGGCGCTGCTTGGGAGATGAGAGCGGGAGAGCGCGGAGATGGACTTGCGATGAGATGGGTCGGAAGGGACAGGTGGTGGGAAAGCCAGTTCCGAACGTTGCTTGGGATATAAGGCGTGTGAAGGTGAAAGGAAGAAATGAGGCAAAAGAAGGAAGACTGGTCATCTCACCTGGGCCAAATGGCCATGGACACTGTCCCGCTCACCCTCTCCAATTCAGCAGAATTTGTCATGGTGTTGCTTCGAAACGGGAACAAGGGTTGCGTGGAGTGAACGCCTGGTCTTCGGATTTCGGGGGCCATGCCGTCCACTTCACCATGATGATTCATGTCGTTGTCAGATCGCTCCCGAAAGCCACGACCTGTCGGGAGGTTTGATTGAAGACCTCTTCATCGATTTTTTCACGCCCAGCGCCGGGGCCCGTGGCGCCTTTGCCAGAGTCCGGACACATGGTCGAACAAAGGTCCGCATCAAGAACTTGCTCCTGGCCACTCGGCATGTGGGAGCAACTGTGGCAATGATTGATTTGCAAAAGAACAGCACGCTCATCAAAGAGAATCCCCAAGTCATTTGGTGCATGATTCTTCAAGCTTTGCCGCTTTCTTCCCTGCAAACGTGCCGGGCATTTCTCTTCCGATCGATCTGCGAAACGTGCTGCGAAACGTGCCGCTCCGCACCGCGCGTTCTGTGCAGGTGACGGGCGCCGGCCGGGGTCTAGCAGAGGCCGGGGGGAGCTATGGGAGTTACTGGACGGCGGAGAAGATCTTCGAGGCCAAGAGTCGCGTCGTGGAACTCATCTACAAGCGTCGCTTGGGCACGAACGGGCGGCACCGGTGCGGACGAACGGACGACCTCGACTGGGCGGCGCCGGGGGAGCGCCTGATTTTTTCTGGTGTAAGATGGAGAGTCTAGTGGTAGGAGACAGCAGAGCGCCGCCTGGTGAGAGCATTGTTTTAAATGTCGTTAAATACAATATAACATAACCATTTTTACTTGTTTATATATAGGCCTATGGCCTATACATTAAAAATCATTAAATGTCTATTTTTTTGGGGGGGGGAGGGGTCGTCGGTTTGCCAAACGGGAGCTGCGGGGGAAACGAGATCGTGGAAGCAGGTGAGGAAGTGCGATGTAGTTTGAGGTTCTTGAGGTCGTAGGCACCGGCATTGCCAGGTAGATCTGTTTGGAACTAACAGCAGTGGAAAACCTCTGTTTTTAGAGGAAAATGATCTTCCAAGGGGCCATGCCGTCCAATTCTATGTTAGTTCCAGGGGAGTGCAAGTGAAGCCGGGGCGACCCTTTCTACAAGGACGCGACTAGGGGCATCGCTACTAGGGACAAGAAGCTATTAGGAGCTCTTCTTTGAGGATCTTGAAGGTTGTGGCCTGAGCCACAGATGGTTCAAGCTCTCCTCTCCTTCGTGAAGAGAACGGCGGTGCGTCTTTTGGTGGAGAAAACCGGGGGGATCGGTTCTCCAACCAAGAAAACTTTGTGTTTGGTGTCCAGTCGTTCTCCTAGTTACGACCTATATGCTGAGGTCTTTCTGCGCCATTCCCGGACCTGCGTTCCCTGTGCCTTGACTGAGCGAGCGAACTCGGGGGTTCACCGAGGGCTCTCGTGACGCACAAGGGCTTTGCATCATCACTCGGATTTGGTAGTGCACCACTCCTAGCACTGTAGCATTTTCGTTCAGCTTTCCCACCACCAGATGGCTACCCAGATAGCTCTGTTGTCAGCAGTGGTGCCAGAAGAAGGCCCCAATTCCTGCACGGTGTCCGCATTCATCGTTTTCATCAAATATTTTTCGTGCTTGGGAGTTGCAGCCAGGCTGAAGTGGAGCCCAGCAAAACGACTTGTGCATGTGGCATCCAGGTGGTTCTGTTCACATGCTTCAATCCTTTTGGTACTTTCTCCTGGGGCTCTCTAGACCCAAAAAACTCGTCTTTCTACGCAGCATGTGCGAACCCCCCTTTCTGCACGAACCGAACCACCGCCAAACCTCGCCCCCCTTGAGCCGCGTGCTCGCTTGGGCTCATCACGCTGGCCAGGTCGCAACAGTCCATAGATTCCCGTACCAAGAGCACCCTTGCACCAAGCTGGACGCCACCCCAAGCTGGGCCCAGGTGAGTGGAGGGCTGCTGTGGATGGGGGGGGTGGTAGGATGTAGGCGTGTTCCAGCATTTGCCTTGAAATTCCAGCCACATCCCTAACACAGAGGCTGTGAGCTCTTGGAAAAGGGTGCCATGTTTTCTGATTGGCAACCTGCAAGACCAGCAGGTAGAAACAGCAACACTTAAGAACGAGCATGACCCATGAACATAAAGTCCTTTTTGGACCGATATATCATACTCTACGGTACATGTACCCTCCAGTGTCAATGACCTCACTGTACCGGCGTTAGCCATACACAAAATACTCAAGGAGTCCAGGAGGTAAAAGACATCGTTTTATATACTGAAGTGCCTTACTAGTAGTAACAAGAAGCTACTAGAAACAAGTGCATCGCTTCTAGTAACAAGTGCCTTACTAGTAGCAACAAAAAGCTATTAGAATTAAAATAAATTGTCCTTTGGACTTGTAGGGTGGACCGACCTCCCTGTGGCTGACAGAGGCAGATCGCGCAGAAGCTTCGATGGAAACTGGGAGTGGCACTCAACTCGGGGATGAGGCGCTTCAGGCTCCTTTTGCAGGAGACAACATCCAACCGGCCTGGGTGGAAGGGCTTGTGGAAATGAAAGCACCGACCTGTCTGAGAGGTGAAGAAAAGGCCAAGTGACCAGAGATGCATCAGATGGCTAGACCTTCAGGTGCCAGTCCTGCTGCTTGCAGAACTCTGTGTTCTGACCGAGCCTGTCAGACATCGGGTTGGAAGGGCTTAATATGGCTTAATCAACTCGTTTTCATCCAAGTTCTGCTCATCCAAGACTCATTTTGCTCCTCTGCTTGGGGTCAATCCTCCTCCCCCGATGGCCAGCCTCCCCAGCCCTGCCCTGCCAGCTTCTCTCGCCATGCGTTCCGACGAACACGCTGGCAGGACAGCGTTTTTCGACATTTGGAGCTGGAAATCCAAAACGCCTCGCTCCAATTCCAAGATTCCACGGGTGCATTGGGCCATGGCTGCCTGAGCATGGGCCCTTTGGACGCAGAGTCTGACAATCTTAAGCAGATCAAGAAGTCTTTGCGCGTCGAACAGAAGAAAGGGTTGATTTGAGGGCTCCAAGAACTTTCTGAGAAGAGGGTGGGTGCCAGGAGGGTCCAAATACCGAACCTGAGGAGGTACGACTGGAGCCCTGGCCTCTAAAGACTCGAAGCCTTTGATCTGGGCCACCGATGGCCGTCAGTCAACACGGCCTCGGTTGGTTGATTCACGGAGGGGATGCCCCAAGTGAACAAGCAACTACAAAAGCCCAGACAATTCATGGGACTGCAATTGACCCCCCTGGCACCACCCCAACTGATCGGCAAATATGGCAGTCCCATGGAGTGTTTGGATAGGTAGATGCTACATTATGGCGTCTGGCACTTGATCCCTTTTTGATTTCCCGTTCGGGCAGACATATCCCCCCTTCCCACCGATATGCAGGGTTTGCAGTTGAACCGGTTCCCTTTGCTTTGACCCTGCAGCCGTGCAGGTCCATGTCGGGAGGGGGTTTTGAGACCCCCTTCCGTGAGTGGACGTGCTGTTCGTGGCACAAGAAGGACCCAAAAAAAGCTCCCTCCAAGGGCGGCACATGGAACTGGAAGGGCGGCAGATGGGCCAAGCCGCTCCGTTTGCCTTGGGAGGTTGACCTGGATGGGAATCTATTCCGTTCATGTTCGGTGGTCACATGGATCATACCCCATAGACTCCATGGGACTGCCATATATGCCGAGCAGTTGGGGTGGTGCCAGGGGGGTCAATGTATAGGCATATATGGCAGTCCCATCCATACCAATTAGCCCCGGCACCCGGCCAAACGCCGTCGGCTTGCTGGACCCGTGTGCCAGTTGTCATGATCGGAGAAGACCCAGTGATACCCACAGAGACACCGATACTCATGGTCTCCCCATGTTCTTCGATACCTACCGCATCCTGGCGCGATCACTCCCTGAGGTCTCAAGGTGGACTCTCTCAGTTTGGTGCGCCATGCGCGCAAGCGCTTGACCTTGGACCTGGCACGCTTGGCCTTCTATGTGGAGCCGCATGGACCTGAGGTCTGGTCGACCGGTCCGTTCGGGAAGCCTCGCGGGTGGGGAGCGTGTCGGGTGGTGCTGGCAAGTTCGGGTCTACAGCATGTGTGCCTGCGGTGGCGCGTGTGTGGCGCGTGTGTGGCGCGTGGTGTTTGCTAGGTTTGGTTCCTGATTCTGTCGTGCGTGCATGTTCGTGCATCTCCAAGCCTCCAGGCCACCATCCGGCAAGCTCTCCCAAGAGCCTTCTTGTCACAGAATTTCATGTTGTCTAGACAATCGTCGCTGGAACCGTGCGCCAGCTCCTGGGGTCGCCACTCACTCGCTTGGGGCTCGCCCTCCCCGCGTGGTGTTTTTCGGGTCGGGCCGCACTCGCGGAGCTCGAGCCGAGCACTCGACGCGCACGTGACGTTCGTCACGTCAGGCCTCGTGGCAAAGCAAGTCCCTGAGCAGGGACAGGCCTCAGCAAGTGGTCCAGAAGATGGCGGGGATGCCCGCGCCAGCAAGTCACGGATGTCGTTGGAAGATGGAGGAAGATGGGGGGGAAGGTGAGTCATGGTCTCAACGAACGATCAAGATGCTGGTGGATGTTGCAGCCTCTTGATAACCCCGCCCATTTGAAGTGGAGCATCCTCTTCTAATATGGGGGGGGTTTATTATTCACCATCGCACACGAGTCAACGACCGCGCGCAACCACACCCTCTCTGGAGTGTGGCAGTTGTGAACCGAGATGCACCGATGCACCGAATTATTGCACCGGAAGGAGGCCGTCCCAACGACGAAAGAGCGCGGGCCTGCACCTTCATCGAAGAGTCGAATCGAGCTCAAGCGTTCGTCATCAGACATCAAAACGTCAACTCCAACAAAGACACCTTTGGGAACTTTTGTTCTTCTTTGAGTCGACGCCGCATGGGTACGGCTGACAAAGTTCTGAAGGAAGCAAGCACTTGAGCATAGCTCTGAAAACGTGAATAAGATGCATGTAGAGGCTGAGCGAGGCTTCTAGTTGAGAGTGTTTGAAGCCACGCCACCAATAGATGCACGCCAACTCAATGACTGAAACACTAGAGTTGGCGTCTATGCGCCACTGCAACTGCATGAAGAATTCCCTGAAACATTTCCAGTCATCAAGCTCGTGTGCCAACTTTGATGGCAAGGGTAATATGGGGGGTTTATTAATCAAGAGTCTACATTACACCTACACATTTCGAGTGCGCCTGGATTCTGGATGTTTGAAGACGATCATTCTTAGCATCCTTCAGACGGCGTTCCAATCCGGGGTCTCGAGCTCTCGGAGGACACTCGACCAAGCTTCCAATTCATGAATTGACCACCTTCCTCTATCCAAAGCTGATCATGACCTCCACCACCCCTAAGCGATGTGCGGCAGGAATTCATCCAAGTCTTTCTCTGGAATGTGGCAACCACCCTAAAAGTACATGGTACTATATGGATCTATATGGTACTGTACATTTATGCACCTGGTTCTTCAAAGTGACCTTTCGATCCCCTGGTTTGTCACGAACAGGCCTGGAAAAGGTCACTTACTCAGGGACTCCAAAAAAGGTCACTTTGAAGAAGCTGGTGCACTATATTAACATCAATATTAACTCATATCATACCTCAGGGGCTGGATGCTTCTCCCTTCACCCTCACTGGTTTCCCTTCTCTTCACCCCACCCGCCAGGTGCGCTTGAACTGCGCCGAGCGCTTACGCTCCTGGGCCTTCAGCGAGCTCCGCGCCTCCATGGGCCCTGAGCAACGGCTGCGGCACGCGGAGAGGTGGCCCGAGCGGCACCACGTGCTGACCATCCCGTGCGTGTGCCGCGGCTTTCGGAGGGGGGAGGGAAGAAGTATGAGGGATGGCATTCTTCACTGGAAAACTCTGGGTATCCCACGAATCCACCGTACCGGTTCGCTACGATGGCACCCGTAGTCGCCTTTCCGGGCGCCTACATCAATAGATCGTCTCCCAAATCACCGTGAGCCGGGCCTATGCCATAGGGCATGGGATGGGATTTCGGTGTCTTTAGAAGGAAGAACCTCTCCGGAACATCGAAGGAGTCGCGCCAACGTGACTCGGTGGTGACCTGGTGGTTGGAGCCTGGGCTTGGGTCTTGGGCGACCAGCGAAGATGGGCGGATCTGGCCGTTGAGGTGTTGAGATCAACCGTTTTTCATGCTTCCTTCACACTCACACACCACATGCGTTTTTCATGCAGCAGTCGAACTGTACCACGTCTCATGGCGGATCAATCTCGATCCTTCGATCTCTCGCATGGCGAGATGCTCTCGCACGTCGTCAGGTCCTTGCATGCTGGCCCGCGGCAGGCAGAGGGCGAAGAAGAGGTGCCTGTGATGGGATTGATGGGCAGCGGGCACGTTCCAAGGCGCAGGTCGAAGATGTCGAAGCAAGATGAGGTAGGTTCCACCCATTTCCCACAGGTTGAGTAAGAAACATGGCCCACCTGGGCCGGATTAGGATTTGGTGCATTCTATCATATCAGTCAGCCCCTGGGTGGGATAGAAATGGGCCCACAGCTGGGATGGATGTCATCGCAGGTGTAGCATTTCTGTTCCAGTCATCGCCTGCTCGGCATGGTGAGACCGGGCATCCTCGACCGTTTCGCACGAAAGGACCACCGCAAGTAGGGGATACTTTCCCTACTCCAAGCAACTCACTAAGAAAAGCAAATGATTTTTGATGCGTTCAATCATCAACTGCATTTCTCATTGCTCACTGGGAGGCTCCAACAACATGCCATGCTGCAGGTGGTTGTGGGACCCATCGCATGACTTTTCCTGGCGAAACAAGCCAAAACGAACCCAGTACTGAGGCATCTCTGACATGTCGTTCACAGGTTACATAACTTGGTTTGGATGTTGGCCTGAACAAGCCTATCGCAGCCAAGGAATAAGGACACCGGTCTATATGATTTTATGAGTTCTTTTTTTCCAACGACTGCATTTGTTTAAATGTTTTCTTGCTCGACTGAAGCTATTTGAAGCCCCTCGCTCTCCCGAGGCGCCGTCGCAGGGCCCAGCCCCTCGGGCGTCCGACAGCGCGGGCAGCCTGGGCCGCGCGCTCACGCGGCTCACGCACGTGCTGCCGAAGCGGAAGGTGTCCGACCTCGAGGAGCAACTCTTCGCGCCCAAGGAGGAGAGCGAGTACTGGGAGAAGCCTCTGGGAGGGACTTGTAGATGTGGGCGGAGTGTGTGACGCATAATTTTTATGTTATTCCAGCTTCTTCAAAGTGACCTCTTTGGAGTGCCTAAGTGACCTTTTCCAGGCCCAAGTGACCTCAAACTGGGATATCAGAAGGATTCAAAAGGTCACTTTGAAGAACCAGGTTTATAGTATACCATACGCCATACGCCATGTACAATCGCAATGGTGCATCAGCGGTGTTTGAGTTCGTTGCTTGAATGTGGGTGGCTGAAGGCGCTGTTTTTTGGTTTGGACATTGGAGGGGTGTTCTTCTCGGGAGTTTCACCGAGAACCTGGGCCTTTGACGGGGGGGCCGTGTGTAACAATTGCAGCCTTAAGCTGGGATGACAATTGCAAAAGCACAGGAAGCATATGTGCAAGCCAGGGATGGCCATGGTCATTGTACTGTAGATTTGTTTTTAATTATCAAACATGGACGGGTTGGATTGATGATTGGAGTCAAGAAGTACAGTGGCTTTAGAGTAGATGGCAGTAGATGGCACAATCCCCAAGTTCGGTGGTTGATATGGAACCCGATATAGAAACACACGCGCACACACAGATATATATATATATATAGACAACATGTTGGATTTTGTGCCAGCACAAGCAATGTCATTCTTGATGAAGGGAAGAGCTAGCCGATCCCCCGGAAGACGTGAGGCAATGATTACATGCAAGTGCCCTGAGAGTTTTTTCGTACCATAGGGTCCCTTCGACAGGTCTCTTTGTGGGAAACTTGTGGGACATTGCTGGAAGAAGCGCTTTTGATTGTTTCACACTCCCTGGAACCAGAATGGAAGTGGAACACCGCTTGCTTGGTCTTGGGACACATGGTCTTCCGAACCTGGGGCACATTGCCGTCCACGTTGATTCCTGGGAGCTGGTTCTTGATGGCGCACAACGGGCCGACCAAGTCGGTCTCAGATGGATCACCTGCAGGAGGAAGAGGGCAAGACCGGGTGGCACTGGAAGCTGCAAGCACCTTGGCGGACGCGGGTCCTCTTTGGAGGGCATGCCGCAGGTGTTAGGAACTGGAAGTCTTGACTGAGAAACAGAAACATCAGAAACTCATATTACTGTATTACATATATTATTTAACAGTGAAGGTCTATAACCTCCTAATCACCTGTAGGGTCTTCTTCTATGTGCCAGCCGAACCCCGATGCCGTTCGGCTCCATGGATCCAAGGGGGCTGGTTTTGGGGCGTTTTTGTTGGGGTTGGCCTTGGCTGGCGGGGAGTCTGTCCAACTCGTTCGGACCGACGTTTGGAGGGAAGCTTCACCACCGGGCAGCCTCATCGGACTGTCCTCCTTTTGGCCACGTCGGCCCACCGACCTTCAGATCCCCAACCAGGGGACCCGTCCAGACCCGGTCCATACCACCTGGCCCGGTCGCCTCGGTCGTCCGGCGCCGCACTGGTCGCCGATCATCGACGCGTTGAACAACGCGGCGTGGCGGTGGCCCGTGGGGGGGACAGGTGCGGCCCTTGTCGGTCACGGTGGACGATGTGCAATTGGCATGCGTGAAGCACTTGCACCACTGCGTCAGGCGCGCAGAGCTCTCTGGGCGCCGCCGGCGCCGGCGGTTTCTCAGACGAGGGTGACGACGAATTAATTAACGCGGGGACTCTGGGAGGGGTTTTCTGGGCGGATTTCGTGGGACAGATGGGGAATGGTATGGCTGAAGGTGAGCAGACGCCGAAGAACATATTCTTTGGTGTGCGAGTCCTTCGTCAAATGGGTTGGTGTGCCGAAATCCCTTCGCTCAGAAAAAGATATGGACGCCTTTACTGTCGGAGGGTGGGTGGAGGTGGGAGTTGGACCGAAAAACCACTCCCAGCATGCACTTGTCACCTAGTAGCTGTTTTGTTACTGATAGCAAGGCCAGGAGCTACGTTCGTAGCGTCCTTGCGATGCCCTTTGTTACTAACTAGTAGTACACTCAGCTGGGGTGGTGTGCCTTCCCCAGGAGTTGGCTCGCTTGGGATGCCGCCTTTCGTTGGCGCCCGGTCTTGACGCCCTTGAGCCCGCTGGTGGATGCCTCTTCGAGAAGGGCCGTGATCCGGCCCCTGGGCGGAAGAAGGGCGTGAAGGAGGAGGAACTTCAGTCAGGTGAGCCGGGTGGTGTGCTGAAAACGATCTTCAAGTTCATGAACTTGGGACAGGGAGGGGTTCGGATTTGATCATGCCACGGGTGATTTTGAGTACTATGCATCAACTGCATGCATAAACATCCCCTTGCCAATATCCTTTATTAAATGGGGAGGGTCCATCCTCCATATTTTGAAATATGACCCCTACCCCTTGAGGGGGTCAGGTCCTCATTTTTTAGAGGAAACTGTTTGTGCATGATGTCGCCGCTGCTTTCCATTACTTTCCTGAAGCACTTGCAAGACGGTAATATCTGCTCATGAAAAAAAAGATGGACATGATATTAGGTTCGTCTAGGAGGTTGGCTCCAGCGTTTTATGTCTATAAAATGGGCGTTTGGACCCCCCACTCATATTGGAATGGTGATGCATAAACTATGGATTTAAACAAGACGAGCCTTGTTGCCCCGTCCATGTTTGAAGCTGGGCTCGGCTTGCCGCCCCGGAGCCGTGGCGTCTCCCCTTCCCGGCTCCCACTCCCAAGGGCCCAGACTCCGGAGATCTCTTCGGTCCGGTTTTCCGGGCTTCCGGGCTCAAAAACCCGGCCTCCGTCCAGCCTCCGCGGTCCGGTGTCGGTGGCTGGTCGCGTTGGGCGCTGTCCCCCCTCCACGCGCGCGGAAGGGGGCACCGCAGGCGGGCACTCTGAGGTTCTGGTGGTTCTACGCGCTGCACCGCGTGGTGGCCGAGAAGTGCGGCCGGAGGCTTCGACTCGTCTTCCTGGACCTGGTGCTGAAGGCGGGTGGAGCAGATGCAGCGGTGGTGTGGGGGGGGGGAAGAGCGACGTCTCGCGCGGTTCGACGCCTGTCTTTGCTTGTAATACAAGCTCAGTGGTTTTGGAAAACCATGTTCATCTGCAGGGGAGTAACTGTATTATACATTATATGCTCCACCTCATGAGTGGAGAAGAGTGCTCACAACCAGTGTCGCCCTCACTGGGCATGGTGTGGTACTGCTTGTCGGTTCTTCACTGCCTCGTGCATGTGGGGGTTCTATCAACGCCTTTTCCGTGGCAATGCACTGGCCCCCCACAGTCAAACCTCAACGACAATGCTCATGGGTCCAGGTTAGTCACAGGGTGGTAACTATAATAGTATCATAACTCATAACCCTGGTTTTGCTTGGTATCTTAGACGTATATTTTTCCCATACATGGGGGAAGCAGTGAGCAAATCCAATCATTTCACACACTTCGCATCCCAAGTATGGCTTCCCAAGTCGCATAAAAAGATCACACCTTGGATTCTGAATCAGGAGTCATGTAAAATGGAGTCGCATCCACATCTGTGTAGCAGAGGACGCCTACCCAGTCTGATAAGCCTGAAAAGCATTCGTTTTCGGGGGGATTGGGGACACCCAACTGACATTTTCCAGGGAAACTGAGGGGATCAGAATGTCAGCAGTGGCTGCTGTGCCAGATCACAGTCAAGTGCATGCCTACCACACACGGTGTGCTTCCATGACGTTCGAAAAGAACGATATGCACATCATCTACAGCTCTCTGATTTCGAAGCCTCTATCTAGTAGGCCGAATTCCATTGTCCCCATCCCGTCTTGGGACCTCCAGTCGCGACTCGACCCTCCTTCCTTCTCGACTCGTCGCACCGCTGAGGCGGGCTACCGCTTCAAGTACCGCTCGCTGCTGTCGGACGTCTTGGAGCGCTCGGGCCCGCTGGTGCCCGGCGGACGCGTGCACTGGAAACCCACGCCACAGCAGCAGACGCAGCTGCAGGAGCGAGACCGACCACAATGGGGGGTTGCGCGAACGGAGCGGGAGGAAGCTGGAGGGAGCACCTCGGGGACTGCAAGTGATGTGCATCTTGTATCATCTTGTAACGAGGCAAACATGAAGGTGATGTCTTGCTTCGAACTTCCCTACGGATCATTGGACTCTCCTATGGAGGGTTTTGACCCTGCATGGCAGGGGTTTGGACCCTCAAAACCTTCACCTTTGAGGGTCCTTGATTCTTAGGGTTATTGAATTTTATGGAATTGATGGGTCGGCATTTGAGCACAGGTCCCGAATCATGGGGGACATGGCCTTTCAGATCACTGCCATGCCAGCGTCTTTGTGCTTCGTCGCCATGATGCCATGAGAAGATGAACCCTACCTGCAGCGTTTCTGGTTTCGTCAGGTTTCTTGGCGTTTCTTGGTAGATACCAAGATTGATCTGCAAAGCGGCTCCACCATGCCTGTGCGGCAGGGTGCGTACGTACTCAAGGCTTAAACTACACACCAAGACAGAAGCGAGGTGCCAGAGTGAATCGCCCTGTGCGGCATCTGCAGGAGTTGCAGATGCACCTGCCATATCCAGTGCCTTGTGAGCCAATGGCGGTTGGAACAGGAAGCTTCAGTTCACCCGCGCAATTCCAAACACAGCCCTCGGGGGCTTTCCCCGTCAACAGAAGCCCCTCATAAATCTTCGCCTCTCCCAGCTACCTTAGGACCTTTCCCTCGCTTACAGCCGCCGTGTCTGACTGGGCTCCTTCTTGGATCTGGGGCGGAGAGGGATGAACCCCAGACCCAAACGCTCCATGCGACTGCCAGTCCAGACTGCCGATCGGCCGACCCCCTGGCGCCACCCCACCAGCCGTTTCTCGGCAGTCCCATGGTGTCTTGGGGTCTGGTCCCAGCACTTGCCGAACGAACGGGCACCCTCGGGCACCCTCTCCACCGCTCGGCCGGGTGGGGGGGAGGTCCGGAAGCTTCGGTCCTGCATGGGACGGTTCGCGCGGAGTGCGCTTCAAGAGTGGTCACGATCCAACAAGTCATCCTCACATAAAGAGAGAGAGAGAGAGAGAGGCCTCCAAAGGGTGGAGTGGAAAGAGAAGGAAAAAACCACGTGCCAAGAAAAGAACCCACATCAAGATGTGGTCTCCTTCATGTTTCTGGTGTTGGAGGGGTTGGCTTCAGAACGAGCTACAGGTTCTGGCCTGAAGTTGCCCAGGTTTGTAGCGCCTGATTTGGAATCACCTTTGGCTGGAGTCTTCTAGTAACTAGTAGTTTCACCAAATCCATGGGATCAACTTCAACCAAATACTCCGTGCCAGGACTTTCCCAGTGACCTGTTCAGGATGGGTCAGTGACCTTTTACAGGCCATGCTCCCGCCCTGGGCTCCTTCCACCGGCCCATCGGCCCGGCCCGTTGCGCGCGGCGCCGAGGACATCGTCTCCTGCGGCCGCGCGGCCTTGGCCAAAGCCGTCAAGGGCGAGCCGGCGCTGCGCGCGGTGGAGGTCGCGGCCGAGGAGGTGATTCGGTGGGGGGGGTGAAGGTGAAGCTCACAGAAGTCCAAGTGGCCCCTGGTGGAAAAGAAGGAACTCGTCACATTTGGTCATGTGGTCTACATATGTCTAAATCTGTCTAAGTATCATGGAATAATTGTGAAATATCATTGACGAGTGATGAGTCATGTCACTAGAACGCGAGATAGAAGAACTTGATAGACATGGTCTCAAGTGCAAGTGACGTTCTTCATTTCTGGGTTGCGGGGTGGTTCTGGAAGAATCGTTTCAGCAAGTGACGTGGTTCAGAAGGAAGTTGTGGCCAGTATCTGAAGGTGCTGCGAGACACCAACATTGGAAGAACTTTGCTGGATCATTATTGTCAGCAGCATCAAAGCTGTGGCCATGAGTTGCCTCCTCGCAAGGGGTCCAAGCAGATAGGACTTCCAAATATGGCAGTGGGTCCAAACATGGAGCTCCAAATCTTGTTCGGTTGACCATATCTGGGCTCATCATGAGCTGTATCAGGACCTGTCATTTTTGAGCTTCAGGTCTTCCGGTGTTGTGGTGCCGTAGCCCACCTCCCATAGGTCCAAAATATATCATATCATTTTCCAATCATGATTGGAGATGATGGACTGTTTCTGGTCTTGTTGGAGGAGCTGGAGGCGGAGGAGGTGGAGGCCTTGGAGGAAGAGGTGGAGGCGGGGTCCGGAAGAGGTGGAAGATGGGATGGGGAGAACTGGAGAACCAACAGTTTTTGATCCATGTTGCACATGAACAAGAGATGTTGCTGGTGTGTGTTGTGAGATCTGCAATGGGGCAACCTTGTGGAAGTCCATGCGCACAACTTTTGCAATCCCCTGTAACTCAGCCCAAACGGAGTGTGCTTTGGACAGCCCAGCGGTTGTGGGGTTCCATGCGGTCCTTTGCAGCAGGGTACTCAAGCCATGAACGCCACGGCACCGGTGCGCACAGCCGCCGTTGGAGGAGTTGGAGGAGTTGGAGGCCGCTTCCGTCTCCAGTGGCTCTAGTACTGAGGAGACTGGATGCACGGGGTGTTTCACGCGGCTGTGAACATACGAGTACTCTAGGTGTTAAGTCTCGATGCTTGTCCCATGTTTCATCTTCCACACCCCCTTCCAACAACTGCTTAGTTTCCGAATGCAACCGTGCTTTCAACTGTAAGCCTTAGCTTAGGATGGTGGGATGGCAGACCTCCTTGGCAGCTCGTTTGTTGGGTCTCCAGGTCAGATGGGCGTTTCAGCTCCGTCGTCACGCTGATCAGGAGCTGGAGCCCAGTGGGAGTGGCACCTGGGAGCTCTGGTGGGATGGCCTCGAGGTGTGGCCAGCCCAGTCATCCGAGCTCGGTGTCCCTATGTGTGTAGTTGATGGCCCTGGATTCTGTGGGCACCTCAGAGCATAGCAATAATCCATTCATAGTCATTTCATATCCCGATTGAAATGTCCTCTATGGAATCAGGTAGCCCAGGTACTGAAACGGACCATTATATAATAACAATTGCCCTCTATAGAACTTATTCATATAATTATCTCATACCTCAGCACCGGACTCTACCCGACTCACAGGTCTCCGAAATGGACGCTTTTGCTGACCCAAAAGTCGCAGGTGGTGACCTGGCAGTGAGGGTGCTGGTATACGATATGATGTATGCGGCATTCTTCATCCTTCTATCCATTTTCTATCCACAGCCTTGTTCAGGGTCTCGCTTCTTTTTTGGGCGATGGCTCCCCCCGCCAGGTTTGTATCCCCTTCTGGAGACGTGGGCGGAGCTATCGCCCCATTCTGCTCCACGTGAGCTTTCAGCAACTGCGGGTGGAAGCCGAAGTGCTGGAGAAAGAGAGCATCGAGGGCCAACAAGGCCGAACGCACGAACACCGGCACCTGGAAGAGCAGCTGATGCCTTGGGTACGCTGTAGGAGTTGAAAGCATTGCACCGAGACCGGAGGACATCCACATGATGGCTACCATGGGTTCGGACTTGGGTTCGGATGATTTCAGAGTGACGGGGTCAACCAATATCATTAGCATGCGAACGTGTTGCTTCTTTTTCTCTCCTTGTGGCTTGGCTTTTCAGGTGCTTTGGTAGGGGCCCTTGGCAACCTTTGGGGGGCGTTGTTAGGGTGTGTCTCACGACCTGTGACAGTCCGTAAAAGATGCTCACTATTTTCGAGAAAGGCCTGCAACCTATATAACCATCCACTGAAGCCTAGACATGGTAAACCAAGGGGCGTTATTGAATGGGTGTGTCTTGAAATCAGGGGTGTGTCTTCGATCGCCCCTGGCTGGTATCTTCGGGACTATTTTTCGCTTCTTTGCGGGGGTCGATCCATATTTGGTGAGATCCACCATTCCCACCAGCAGTCACAAGACGGGGTGCCGAACTTGGAGGATAGGGTGCCCAGAACATTCACTCACTGGATGGGACTAGAAACCACCCGTCTTGTGACTCCTGGTATGATGATCTGCTTCATGCCCTGAAGAACCTCAAACCATCTCAAACCCAAGATCTTCAGACTTCTCAGACTCTTCGCGTTGACGCGACTCCTGGCATCAGGCCGCCTGGCGCCCTTTAGCCTTTGGTGTTCTTTGACGCTGGGCGGAGAGTGGTCCATCCACCAAGCTTCCTTTGGGATATGTATATAAACTGTATGTATATGTGTACATAATATATACACATATATTATGTTAGTGTATTTCATATTGTTTGTGATAATATACTTATAATATACTGTATATATATTGTACGTGTTTGTTAAAGCATATGATACAAAGCGCGCACACACACACATATATATATATAGCTGTATATTGGACCCTGTTTCCAATCTTCCAACACAGTGTTGCTGTCAGTTCTCCCCGTAGTGAAAAACGGGAGGCTTGGGCGTCGTCGGACTCATTGGGCACCTGCGTTGTCCCCGGTCCGATTCAAAGAGGTGCAGCTCGGAAAAATGAGGATGCTCCCAAAAAGGGTGTTCCACGTCTCTGCCAATAAATGACTCACTCCAAACAATCCTGGAAGCGCCTCTGAAACAAATCCATTTCTGTGAAGCATCTTGGGCCCTGGATGAAGCTTTAAAGCCTTCCCAGATCCCGCAACACGTCGATGTGCTTTGGAGGTTCAGCAACCCTTTGCGAAGTTACATTGGACCCAAAGGCTCATGAACCCGAACCAACTGCTACATGTGGCTTTGGTCCCAAAACCCTGAGCTCTGAGGGCCCCCCCAAAACCCCCCCCAAAACGGCGAACGGACCACGGGGTTCCATAAAAACCTGAACGGCCGTTCTTCCCGGCTCAGGAAGAGCTTCAGCGTCGCGTCGCCGGAGGCGGGGCGCCATCGCCCGGGTGCGCGGGAGATCCTCCAGGTGCGCCGGCCGGTGAAGATGTCCAGTACGCTCTTCGCACCTCGGAACGAGCGCGGATTTCCCGAGCGCGGGAGAGGTTGGGGGTGTAGAAGTGCATTGGATCCGCAGAAGGCCCGGAACTGATGGAATTGATTTGAACCTATATATATATATGGTAGAGAATCATTTGTCGTGAAAAAGATGAGAGACCACAAAATGCCATGATATCAACAAGCATCGGATATGATATATGACCAAGTTTGGTATTTTAAACACATTGGATTGTTGGTAAAGGGATTGAAGCTTGAATGAAGGATCTCCCTCCACGACCGGAGCGGGTTGAACGCAGCCGGAGACGGAGACGTCACGTCCCCGCTACCCGGAGGGATCCTCGGTGATCAAAAGGACTTGGTATGCCCTATAGGGCTCCAAGGACCTTCTGAGAAGTTGCTTGGGGTGGGTCCAAATACCGAACCTGAGGAGGTACTTAGGAGCCCTATAGGGCTGCTTTTTTTGGATTCGGCTGCCGGTGCAGAGCTGGTTGGGTGTTGGTTTGATGCGTGGCGCCGCACTGTGGGGCGTCATGTGGTAAACATGCCGCCGCCACTTAGGTGTCGCATCGCTTTAGCTATTTTTAAAAGAAAAGCACTGGTGATTGGGGCTCTGTTGCTTGCAAGGTGCCAGTAAAAAGAGGATGCGAGATCGGAGAGGGAAGCCGTGTCATGGATTGTAGAGTCCTGAAGTCCTTTAGACTTAAGCCGCTTGAACTTTTTGAGGTGGGTGTGATTTCTGAGTACTGGCGATTGGCATCTCCCATCGGTGTGACATCCTCTAGCTTCCTCAACATAAAATGTGTTATGTCCTACGATGTCCCTTTTCCCTTGAAGTACTTTGAAGAGACCTGATATGTCTCAACCGGCAGACTTGTTGAGATCTATATATAGGCTATACGCCGTCTAAGTCTCGGGTGTTGGGGCACTCACTTCTACGAATCGTCGTCCGCCCTCGAGGATGCCTCCTACCGCGTGGCCCCCCCAGAGATGCTGCCGGGGGACGTGTTTGCCTTCGTGGTGCAAGCGAAGGCCACTGGACAGGCGAAGGAAATCAGCGCAGTGCTTCATGCACCGGAGCTGAAGCTGCTGCTTTGGGAGCCCTTGCTGTTGACGCTGAAGGCCCCGGGGTGCAGAATTGGGGTGGGGATGGGTGGGGGTCTAAGTCCGACAGAAGCGAGACAGAACCACCCGAGCCATAGAACTTCACATAGACCGAGCTGGGCCGGGGGGGGAGGACGCCTCAGGCGCCTGGCCTCCCCCAGCTTTCCAACGCGCCTGACGCGCCAGGCCTTCACCACGCGCAGCGGTGGTCGTGCCGGCCGTGGGACCCTCTCGCTCCTGGAGCGCGGGCGCACCACGGTCGGTCCCATGGACGGCCGGGTCACGGCGGAGAACGGACGGGTGGGCCCCAGCAAGGTGAAGGCGAGTGGAGCCGTGAGGGGAAGCCGGATGGATTTGGGCTTTTGGAAGATGGGGGGTGTCTTCCTGGACCTTTGAAGGGGTGTCCAATGGACTACCCCACACTACCTATAGGCTTCCATTCACCCCTTGGAGGGTCCTGGAATTGAGGGGGTTGTTTTTCTTGTGTTCCTTTCTTTCTGGGGGTGACGCTTAGGAAGATCACTGGACGGCCGCAGTGATCCGCAGCGGGGTGCACACGGTGCGAGAGTCGTATCCAGAGGCCTACTCTTGCAGCGGCTATATGTATACTGTGCATATTTACACACATATATGATATATGTACATAAAAGAAATACACATACATACACATATAATACATTTAATATCACTTAATATTACATAATTTACATAATTCTTACTAGCTATACTGCCATAATCATTAATCATATAGTATATTTGTAGTAACATAACTGGTATATAATGTTTGACATCCCTCTCCTTAGTACATTCCACTCTGACTCTAGCCTCTCTAGACTCATTTTCACTGAAAATCGGTTCCCGCCCACCTCTCTCGCTTCACCCGTCCAGGCCACCTTTGAGACGGTGACGAGCTCCATCGGCACCATCCGGGGAGAAGAGGAGGCACACGAGCGAACGCGCTTCACCAAGCGCCTCCAGGCGCGGGCGCGGTCGGCGGGCCAGGCGGACCGGTCAGGGTCCTCCCGGTGTGAAGGAAGCTGCGGCCACCGGGGTGCAGAACTGACGCTTTTCAGGGTCCTCAGGCGGTTTTTCGGTGGCGCTGCTAGGAGGGATGCCCAATTGGCCCAAGAAGCCAAAACCAGTGGAGAGTGGATGTCCAAAGCTCCAAAAAGACGGTATAGCCGGTATAGCTGTTTTGTACCTGTAGCTCAGGAGGGAGGCGAGGAGCTATCCATCTACCTCATCAAACCGGGAGCCGAACTTGGAGCGACCACGTGATGAAGCCCTGCCTCAACCCCTTGCAAGTCCTTGCTTTTTGCACATCAAAACCCTAGCCTTCAAAGACCATTAAAAGAACGGTTGAGCTGGTGGTGTAGTGTAAGAATCCTTGGTAAAACAATGGTTATTTCGTAAAGACCATTAAACCAATGGTAGAATCCTAGGGCAAAACCATCTTCCTTGAGATGAGCTGCCCAACGACAAACGGGCGACAGCGACGTTCACGCCACCTCCCCAGGCCGCCCAACGCTTCTTCGAGCGCTATGCGGTCATCCGGGATGAGGTGGCGCTGGATCTGGTGGTGCATTTGGGGGCCATCCAGGTGTTTCAGGTGGGCCAGTTTTCCAAGGCAGGGCGGGCGGTATCGGGATGGCTGGCGGGCATGGCAAGGTCAAGTGAATTGGTGGGGATGAGGAGGAGGAGGTTTGAGGTTTCACAGAAGGAGATCTGCGTTTGCATGCCAGGTTTTGGTGGGTTGGGATGCTTTTTCATGGAAACCGTGATGGCCTGATTGCCGAATTTCAGAGGAGTCACCCTTGATGAGGTAGGCTAAATACATGTAGACTCTTGATTCATAAAGGCTCCCATGTGAAGAGGATGTCCAATTGACATGGGGGGGTGTTATTAATCAAGAGTCTACATTAGCTAGGTTAATCTGCAAATTGTGCCCCTTCACCATTTGTGATGGGAGGCCTTTTTTGCGGTTCAGTTTTGCCACTGACAGGCTTTACAGTAACTTTACAGTTTATGGCCACCCAAGTGACCGATGACCCATTGGACACCATTTGCCCTGAGTCATGCGGATGCAACAAAATCCTCCACCAGCGTAGTCATACCACAGATCCCAGGCCACTGCTCAATGGATGCGATGAAGTGGTTTAAGGGAAAACCTGCAGGAAACATAGGTTTTTTTTGGGGTGAAAACCATGGTTTCCTGTAGATGTTCCTTTAAACCAATTCATTGGATGGATGCAATCAGGCTTGGTTTTGTGGTGCGCACAAGATTTGTCCATTTCACCCTTCGGAATTCATAGTTCTTCGCACTTAAAAATGTCTTCAAGTGCTGCAGGATCTTGTCCCCTTGAGTCCTTCATCACTTCTATCATCTTCTATCCAGAAATTGCTTCGAACCACACTGCCGGTCTATTTCCTGTCATGCGTCCCCTGCAGCATTTCTCCGCTGGGTCAGGACCAGTTGGGCGTGGAAGAAGCGCGGATCTTCCCACGGCGAGTTTGGGCCAAGGTGGCTCATGACGAGATTGCCAAGAGCTGCGCGCTGGGCATCGAGGTGCAGTGATGCATTACGGTGGGTCTCTCTAAGCCGGGAGGCCTGAGAGATGTGACACCCCAAAAGTGAGTTGAACATGTGACCCCCATCAATTCCCACTAGATCATCTGTACTGGAAACCGTTTCTTCTCTTCTTTGACCATTTTGTTCGGGGGGCTTTTTATTTTGGGTTAGGAGGACTGTTGGGTGCTTGGTTGAAAGTAGTTCCGCACTGCAGCGCCGTCCATTGGAGAAGACGAGTCTCCAGGGTAGCTCCCGGTAGCGCAGGTCACCCGAGCCCTCTAAAACTCCATAGAACTCAGACTGCTAGGTCAAACACAAGCTCTCTCCACTCTCATTTGCTACTTCTCCACTCAGCTATCTCCAACATCTCCAGTTCCCTGGCCCTCCAGGACCATGAAAAAATCTTTGACCTGCGGCTTTGTAGTGGAAAATGCTAAAATCTTTCGTAAACCCATGATTGTTCAGGATTCGATCCCCTATTTCCTTTTTCACTCTAGTGCTGAGCTTGGAATCCTATAAAAACGCTCTTGCTGCTAAGTCCTGACACCCATGTGGGTAGTTCATCTCCCAGCTTGCCCAACCTTCCTCCTTCCACCTGGCCCATTCCGCGGCAAGGACGTTGGCCGCGGCCCCGCCGCGCCGTGGATCGCGGGCGCGTCGCACGCCGAGCCGGGCGTGCGGCAGGAAGCGCCGGTAGAGCCGCCGTTGGGGGGCTTGGGTGCGTCGAGGCGCTGGAGCCCGTGGCGTGCAAGGGGAGAGGATGTGCAGGGGGAGGAAGTGCAGGGAGCAAGGATTGTAAAATAGGAAGTGTGGGGAGTCGAGCTGTGTCGAGTTGGTTTTCTCCTTCCTGCTGTAGGCCAGTTGTGAGATGTGTTTTCTTTTAGGGGTTTCCTGGCGGGTGGGCAGATGGTTGCAGAAGATTCAGCAACGTGGAGCGGGCGATGCGGGAAGTATCCGGCCAGATGTCCAGATCACCCAACTAGACGACAGGGTGGCCCGAAAGCACAATAGGAGAATGCAGGAGATGACACAAGGTAGCAATGATGATATTAGTAATGATGATGATGGCGACGACGACGACGACGACGACGACGATGATGATCATGTGGAGGAGGTTGATGTTCTCGTTTCTGAACTACGTCAAGAACCAGGCCCTGTGCAGACCTGTCTGTAAAGATGCACCTAAACTCCTGTATCTAGACAACCTCCAAGCATCTGTCTCCAAACTCTTGTATTTGTGTAGGGGTCCTTTAGCAATTGCATCGCCATCTCTGCACCTGTATGATGATGATGATGATGATGGGTTGACGGAAAGCCCTTCCCAGGTGCTTTCAGGAACAGAATCCCTAACAAATTCTTAGCCAGTCGGCCCTCAGCTGAGCTCAGCCCAGGAATTGGTGCTGTGTGAACAAGGCGGCCAGCGACCCCCAAGCCTGGCCAGCGCCACAGCCCACTGTCCAACGAAGCGGAGGAGGTGAAGGGCTGCAACTTGACAGAACAACAACCTGGATCTTCCCATGATTTTCCAACTAGGTCAAGAATCCGCGTTGCCAGCTTCAAAACCAGCCAGCAGGCAAACATTTTTGCATGTTTGGAAGATCCAAGAACCCAAACTTCTGTTGTGACTCTTTTTTACCCGCACCACCATGGGCCAGAACCTCCGGTTGTAAAACCATTTGCCGGTGAACCGTTCCTAGTACCATGTTTATGAACAGGTGTCACGCAGCTCGTGTTCCAGATCCGCACCTTGAGTTCCATTCTCGGTGTCGCTCGATGTTTTTTCTCGGAGATTCGTTCAACGATGTTCAACGACTCTGTCTCACAGCAGCTCGCTGGGCCGAGCTGCCGAAACCGGACGCCGCGGGTGGGGCGATCCATAACGACGCGGTGGAAGCGATCGAGGATGCAGTTGGCCTTTTGGAAGGTTCGCGAGTCGGACTTCGGCGCCTGGATCCACGAGCAGGAAGAAGAGCCTTGGGAGATCAGCCGATGTGACGCGGTCTGTTCGGGTTTTTGGAGGGGTGTGCGGGGTTCAGAACAGCAGACACGACCTGTTTGGGGACGGTTGGCTGACATTTTTCACCTCCCCATTTTAATTGGACATCCTCTTCAGATGGTTTTAAGATCAAGAGCAATACATCATGTAAAAAGGAGTATTTGGGTACCACTTGGGAAGGAAACAAAGATGGGTGTGGATGCTCCTGCTGCTGCTGCCGTTCTGGGATGGTTATTGCCCCTTCGTGAGGTTCCTCCTCAAATTGGATTTTTGCCAATCAGGATCCCACTGGAATCGTTTTGCAATTCAGGGCCCACTTGGATTGGCTCGCCCAGAAGTGCCTTGACTAGCAATCCTTCAGGGTGTAGGCTCAGTGGGTGTGCCCTGAGGAATGGCGTGGCAAGATTTTCTTTGGCCGCCAAAGCTTCTGAAGGGCCAGCCACGCGGAAACGACGAGCGACGGGTGGCCTAGCAATCCATCCCAGAGAGAGCTATGCAAAACCTCTTCAGACGGTTTTCCTATTGATCCAGACTCTACATTGCCATGTTTGTGCATATGTTTCAGGAGTCTCCTGACACCTTCAGACATTTTTTGCATGTGTCTCTCATTTGCTGGCCAAAGGCGCATGTGTTGGCATGTGTTGGCGCCGTTGCTCCCTGCTCCTCAGCAGTTGGTTGAAGTTGAGCCTGCACAGTCAATGAACGTGTCTTTTTGGTTGGATCCTCTTGGGCTCGAACCAGGGGCAAAGGAACTTCAACATAATTACTTCAACCAATTCCTTGTGCATACTCCAAGAGATCAAGACGCTGATGGGTCATTGAGAAAGTTGTGTTCTTTTCCATTCGTTTTGTTGCTATTCTCGGGTGGGATGCCTATGAATCCAAACCCCACAGTGGTTGTTGAAGCTCGCTGCGTTTTGCAAACATGCCTATAGTCGGTCCCCCACCTCCTTTCTCCTCCTTTCAGCTGTCGAAACCGATAGACGCCTGACCAAAGATGTCAGATGGCCAAAGTGCCCGCGTCCTAGCTTTTTTCTCTCCGTGTCACCGCGAAAAATGCCTCAGGATGGGTCCAGGGTCGTGTGACGCGCTGGATGGAGGGCTAGGGGAGTGGCCTGGCCAGGTAGGGCCCAGGTGATTCCCAAAGCTGTTTGGGCATGTGTGCCACTGCAAAACCGACACTGAAGATACACTGAAGCAGCTGGCTCATGGGTGCAGCTTACTTTCGGCCCTGGCAGCTTAGGGTGCTGGCGCCCCCATTCAATGACACTTGTTTCTTATGTTTTTGGTGTGTGTGTGTGATGAAAGACGGAAGACAGAACGGATACAAGTCATACAAACATTTGCATCAACCAGCAGCAAGAACCGAATATAACTTGCTTCGCGATTGGAACTTCTGATGCAGACCAAATCTTCACAATTCAGTTGGATCTCACTGTCCACCTTCCCAGCAGAGGTTGAAGAACCCGAACTAGGCTATAGGGTTCAGGTCACTTGTAACCTCTGTTGGTCCTTTCCGTTTTCGTTTGCGGATGTCGGCGCCCTCGCTCGCTCGAGAACCTCGGTGCGTCCGTCCGTGACAGGTACGGCTCGGAGGCCACGCTGGAGGAGCCGGCGCTCGCAGGGGCAAAGACGCCGGAGGACCTCGATGGTGCGGCGCGGAGACCTGGTGGGAGTGGGTGGGGCGGTGCCGGGCAGGGCGGTGCCAGGAGATGCCTGGGGGAGAAGATGAGAAAGATTCAATCGAAGTTTGGGGAGAGATTTGGGGGCTGGGATGATTTGGTGATTGAGGCAGCATGATGGGGTGATGATATCATTTGATCATGATCCGATTTCCTGATGACCCGCCTCCCTGTGGGTGATGACAGGACGATTTCCCCCCATCTCAGTTTTTTCCGGTGACCCAGGACGTCTGGGTGACGGGGATTGGACGTTCGCTGTGCACTTACCTTCTTGCAGAGGACCACCTGGAACCCCAAACCCGCTGGGCCACTGGGTTGTAGATTTTCCACAGGTGATTCTCAGCTTCCATCTTAACCTGCAGGGGAGTACATCTAAGTGGAACACCCTCGGTAGAAGGAGCCACGCCACAAGACTCGACCGGGCCTCGAACTCGACGTCGGTGCCTCCGCGGCAACACAGGTGACTCCCGAGGAGGCGGATCCGAACCAGGCGGGGCGTGAACGCGCCGAACGCGGGACGGGCCGCCGGGTCCAGATGGCTCAGGGACGTTGGGTGTGATTTCGCGACGCTTCTGAAAGGCATTTGGGATCATTTTGGATGATTTGGGGATATGGGTCAGGTTGGGGATCAGATTGGCTGCGTTTACCTGGTCTTGACCAAATTTTTCTGATTTTGTTTCATGTTTATGAATTGTTTTTTTGAAACATCACGCGTTTCTCACGGTGTGCAAAGGGCCTAGTGCATAATAGCCTGTCGAGGTTGTGCCGCCTTTTCCCATGGAATTCGTTCAAAGTCATTCAGTGGGTGGTCCCGACATCATCCGCAAGATTCGCAAGACCCCTGCGAGTCAAAGATGTCAAAGACTATATATAAACAGAATGGTCTGACTAAGTGACCCGAAAAGGGGCTTCCTTTACTTCAATTGGTCAAAATATCATCTTTGGACTTCAGTTTGGGATTGTTAACAGACTATGGCCAGGCTATGATGCTATTGGCGGGGTCAGGCACGAAGGGTTGCGTGCCTTCCTGGGTTCTTCCACCATAACCTCATCCGGCAGGTCACGGATGACGAAGGTCCATCCCCGCCCCTTGGCCGGGAGCGGTGACGCGTGATCGGTGACCTGTCCGCTCATGGTCGCATCGGGACATCGAAGATGTCTCAAGCGCGGTTCGATCGCTGATAAAGACGGCTATTATACCCTATAGGATCCCCGCCCGAAACAAAACAAGGGTTTGGTTTGGGGCCCCAGACCCTTGTGAACTAGAGGGTTCGACCCCTTCTAAGGAGGGTCCGTTTGGATCCTTAGGGTATATTGCGTAAAGGGTCAGCGCTTGTGTAGATTTTGGCTTCAACTCCAACAGTTCACGACTGCTCTGTACTATAATGGGTCATCGCGCATGGCTCACCTGGCCTATGGCCTATGGTGGCCTTAACCAATCATCTCATGAGAAGAACGAAGTGCTGAGGGCAGAAGCTGCAGAAAAGGATAAGAAGGAAGAGAAGAAAAAGGACCGAGGGCAGAGCTCCTGCTGATCCCCGCGGATTGGCCGTTGGAAGATCTTGAGTCATCGAGCCCGCAAGACCGTCCTAGTCATTGTCCTTCTTTCCGGTTGATTTAGGGATTATGGAAGTGGTTAACGTTTGTAGACTTCCTGAAGTGGCGATGGTTTTACAGCAAGTGGCCAGAGTTTTAACTATATACTGACCTGCAGCAAGTTGAACATACATCAGCAGAACCGCACAAGTGCCAAACGTAGCTGAAGTGTTGGAAGTAGTCCATCATGGATGCTGGCAAGAATCTGACAACATGCTTTGGCAGGAGAAGAAGGAGAAGAAAGACAGCAAGTAACCGCTGCAAATCATGCAGAAAAGAGAGAGAGAGAGAGAGAGCGCTGCGTTGCTTTGCGCTGCCCATTTGCATGAACCAACGGTGTTCATCAATTCTAAGTTTGTGGGACCATAAAATGGGCCACGTAAGTCATAAGATGCCATAAGGATTACAATGGATCCATACAAAAACTTATATATGTATCCATTCTTCGGTGAAAAAAAGACAGACTTCACACCCCAAAACTTCGGGCTTGGACCTCGGCTTGGACATCTTCGGCGAAACCCATCGCAACAGTGGCACCTATCACGAACAGCACGACCGGTGCTGTTCGTGATCGTGGCTGGGTGGACTCGCCAAGTCGGACACTTGAAGGACCCTTCCGACCGCTGTCATGGTCCTTCTGTCATGGCCACGGTCCAGGCTTCCCTTCGGCATCCCACGTGATATCGCCGTGAACCTGCGGTGTCGTGCGGCCTAGGATACGGTGGATCCAAGAGCAAGCGGTAGCAGCAGGGCAACAAAAGATCTTTACCCTAGGGATCCACATACCTTTGCAGAAGGTAGGGCTGGACCCGACCCGGGCGCCTACATAAATAGTGTCTCAAGTTTGGTATGTGGATCCATAGGGTTGAATACGGGATACCGTTCATCTGAGATGAATATTCAGAATATTTCAGAATGCACAGTGGCTGTCTAGCTGGCAACAGACTGAGTTACACCCACGAAACGTTGACATGGAACCTGGAAATCGATCTTTGGAAGAGCTTAGCTTCTTCCACAAACCAGTGGGTTTTCAGGCTCCATGTGGGTCTCAAAACGCCGCGTCATTATCTCAAAGACCCCGCCCAAAAATACCCGTTTTCGCCTTCCAAATGCCCGTTTCGGGCACCGGTTCAGGCGGAGTTGGTCTTGGAAAAGGCCACCCAATCGCAGGCGCGCCGTGGACTGTGGACGTCTATCCCATGCAGAAGTCGGGTCCGTGGCCCATGTCGGGTCCGTGGCCCCCCTCAACTCCCCTCATTTCATTCAACAACGCTTCTGTCTATCCCTAGACCTTTTGGCCCATATCCTGAGGTTAGACCATCCTGGCACCCAACCCCACCACCTAACCTCAGCAGGTAGTTGGAGGTCTAGAGTATTCAGCTGCCCCTCTTTAGAGATTTTTCAGTGGTGTTACAGAAGCCGACCATGGGTGGTCGAGAGCTCATGGGTGGTTTCTGTGCTTCGGAGCTGGTCACCTCCGGCAGCCCAAGTGGTTCTTGACCAACACGGGTGTGTATTAAAATAGGGGAGACCTCTCAGTTCGACCCCTGAAAGAAGGAACATGGACACAAACCATACTCAAACACAACAGGTTTCAAAGCGAAGCGAGTTCCATTTCCGCATGTCCTTCACCAGACCTGCCGCGGCGTTTTCGGTACAACAGCGGGAAGTGTGCACTTGGCTGTAAACTGGGCCGCCGCCAGACCTTTGATTTATATATTCCCTAGGGATCTAAGTACCTCCTCAGAAGGTATTTGGACCCTCTGAACCCACCCCAGTCCCCACCTTCTGAGAAGGTACGACTGGAGCCCTAGGGAGTAATATGACTGAGGGCACTTCAGGATGGCACCAACAACCTTACACCTACTTCGACCTGCTTCACAAGTGCTCGTGGACCATTGCAGCATGCTTCCTTCTTTTTCCGTTTTGGTCTGCTGCTCCTGTTCTCGGCTGTCTCGGCCACCTCATATGGACCGCAGATGGACCCCCAACAGTGGAGGCCCTCTCCGCGGAACCAGAAGGGGGTTGTTTCGCCAGGACTACCAGCAGAAGTCCCGGATGGCCACTGCCGAGGGCTCGCTGGAGGCGCTTCGGAGCGAGCGAGCGAGCTCTTTTTTCTCCGTCGGAAGGAGCGATCGCGGGAGAGAGGATCAACATCACAAGCGCAGCCGGGCACAGTGGTTTGTGGACACTGATTCATGTATGCTGTATGCATGTATATATATATAAACCTAGAACCTGAATGACCTATTTTAGACCACCAACCACCCAACATATGGCCTTTTCCTATCAAAACAGGGGTCAGTTGGGTTCAAGGTATATATATATATATAACAGGGCCCTGTAAGGCCCTCAGGGGTGGTGAATGGATACCCCTTGACCTCTAAGGAGCTATATATTTCATCGATTGCATGACATACCGTACAACATCCTGAAGCTCGCTAAAGTAGTGTTGCGCAGGAGGCTGCTCCTGAGGAGAACCAATTGGGCAACATGTGTTGCCTTTTCATGTATAAAAGCGGTCTTCGAAAGGCTGATGTTTTGCAATGCTGGCAGATCGAGGTACTTTCAATTCTCAAAAATGCATCTTCGCGGCCTCGAGAGAAAGAATGCCGGTGAACGGTTAGACCAAGATATATAAGATATGAATGTGATTGGTCCGTTCACCCCTAAAGTTGTAAAAGATATACAGATAAGACTAAGACAGACATATTTTTAATCATCAAAGACACTATACCAGGAGTCACAAAGGGGTGGTGTTTAGTCCCTAAGTGAGTGGAGTAGCTGGGCACCCGTATCCTCCATGGATAGCACCCCGTCTTGTGACTGCTGGTAGAAGTAATTTCATAACTACCTTTGTGCGGCGTTCTGTTCTCGCTCCCACGAGTCGACGTCGTGCGAGCCATCCTTCCACGAGCCACCTTTTTGGCGGGTGCGGGCACCGACGCCCAGGTTCAACAGCAGCAAGTTTGGTCATCCTGACTTCGTTTGGGAAAGGCACTTGTGATGGAACAAGCAGCTAAGCAGCTCAGACATTTCCAGTATCACTGGGATCTGAAGCTGCCTGCCAGAAATCGTCTCCTCAATGACATGCGACAGGACAAGTGTTTCGGCAGAGCCCTTCCATTGGGAGCGGGCAGTTTACCTCACCAGAATCCCGGAAGGGTTAGGATGTTTTGGGCAATGCTCATCCAATTTGGCGGGTTTTGTTCTAGCTCAGATTGACACCATGAAAGTGAGTGGTCACTGGTCACCCCACACAGGTGAATACGGTTTTGCAGGTCTGAACTTGGTTTTGCTCGACCCGTGCCAGGATGCAACAGTTGTCGAACGAACTGTTCAACGAAGCCGCCTCCATCGGAGACCAGATTCTGGTACCGATGCCCGAGCAGCTTGGGACGGGGGAAGCTGCATGGAGAACCGTCAGTGCTGGGGTACCCTGTGTGGAGTCACAAATCCTTGCATTTTCAGACCTGTGTGCGGCAACAATCGGCCACGGCAACAATTCACCTGTGCGGATTCCGCCGGATTCCGCCGGCATGCGTGCTGAACGTGCTGAAGAGGTACTACTTTCGAGCGGTGGGCCGTGCTGAAGAGGTACTACTTTCGAGCGGTGGGCCGTGGGTTTCTGGATATTTTGTTCTCTGAATGTACCAGGTGGGAGTTGATTGTTCACATTGAGTGCATTGAATGGCTCTAATTTGCTCGAACTGGCCATGATCGGATCCAAATGGGAAAGAGTGTTCATGAGTTTTCCTTACATTGCAACCATTTGTTAGGCAAATGCATACCCTGCATACCCGTGAATGGCACAATCCAGGCCCAAACTTTCCAAGAAACTCCCACCAAAATTGCGAAAACATCCCTCGCACGCACTGCAACGCAGGACATGTTTTCACTCACCACACATTGAACTCAATGATTTTCGACGATGTTTGCTCCCTCCAACGCTCAAATCCAGAGCCTTGAGCCTGGGTTCATTCCAGGGTCTTTGCAATCGACCTCTGCCGAGCGACCTCCAAGGCACAAGCAGAGTCAGCCATTGGCACAACCAAGAGTGCGGTGATCAAGGCTACATGGCTCAGATGTGTGTTGTTTGTTTTGTTTTTCTCATGCCTTCATTTGTCCTGTGTAAATCCGCATGGTCAACGGTGTTCTTTCCCTGTGCCAGCAGCTAGCTTTCACAAAAAATGGTTCCCCCCCTTAGACTTTCCGCTGCCCAACCGCCAGTCTGACTGTCTCTGACGTTGCGACTGGGCGTCCCTATAGACTGGACGTCCTATGGGCAATCACCCCAAGACCGTGCGCAGTGCGCAGAAGTCCATATGGGGTATACACCTAAGGTGAAACCATAGGATTTCCTGTATAGGTGTTCCCTGAAAAACGAAGGAAGGACTGAGCATGACTGTGCCGACCAACCGACTCTTGCCTGGCCTTGTCCAGATGACTGACTTGATGGTCCCGACTTGCCGAATCCCCAGACCTGGAGAAGAAGATTCATTCTTTCCCCGCTCCTGAAGCCGCCTGAAGCAAATCCAAGATGTGCCTCTCCTCTTGATTCTGTTCAGCGCTCGCCCCCCTGCCGCCCTCAGTGGTGTGTTGGGCATGGTGTTGCGTGGTGTGTTGGGCGGCATGTGGCGTTCAATTGCGGTCAACGTGAGGTTCTTGCGGCGTGCGACCCCTTGCAAGCACTGGCGAAGAAGCCGGAAGAGGACGGAGATCAGGGGACCCAGCTTAGCAAGAAGTTCTTGAAGGGGTTGACTGGACACCCTTTCAGCATTTTTCAGCTAACCATATGTCAGGTCAACCCGCAACTGCTTGTTAATTTCTAGAAAGCATTGTCGGTCAGGGTTCTCGTCACATGCGCTAACGGGCTCTTTTGAGCAGGTGGGACTGTGGTGGGTTTAGAGGGTCCAGTCATCCCTTCTGAGGAGGTACATCTGGAGCATGGGTCGGGTATGTGTTCGTTCGGGTCCTTCCGCCAGGCCACGCGGGTCTCCAAGTCCCAGCAGTTGGCCACCCAGGCAGAACAGCAAGCGGAGCGTGGCAACTTGCCAGCTGCTCGGGCTCAACGTTCCGTCCGAGGACGGACGAGAGAGGTTGTATTTGCCGCAGAGCCTACAGAGGTATCCAGTGACCTGAACTAGGACCCGTCACCAGGGGTACCTATAGGATAGTCGAACTAGGGTTCTTCAACCTCTGCTGGAAAGGGGGGGAGCAGATGGGTGTGGGATTTGAATAGGGAGATGATACCT